CAGCGCGATAGACATGATCATCAAAACAAAACAGATGTTTTTAACAGAGTATCTAAGATACGAGCTGTAAAGGCAAATCAGCATATTAGAATGATTTCTGGATCATGTGACACTGAAGACTAGAGTAATGGCTGCAGAAAATTCAACTTTGCCATCACAGGAATAAATTACATTTTCAAATATATTAAAACAATTATTTTTAGTTGTAATAATATTTCATAATGGTACTGTTTTACTGTTTGATTAAATCAGTGCAGCCTTAGTGAGCATAAGGGACTTCTTTCAAAAACAAACTACTGTCAGACTGACTCACTGACTTTTGAAACTTTTGAACCCCGGATTTTTGAACAGTAGTGTACACATTGCAGCAAGTAGATAGTATTGTTCATTTTTTGAGGCACTGTGCAGCTCCCAGTTACATGTAGTGATGATCTTAATACATGAAAAGCAGAAATGGAAAGGCAGAAATGGTTTAGACATTTTCTACATGTCAAAGTCTCTTTCTAATTCATTAAATCATATTTTAAGTGTAAAAACTATCTGACCTTGAGCAGACATATTGTAATGATGTAGTAAAGAGTTTTGTATATTTAAACTTTTTGCGTATTTCAATCATATTTCATATGAATCACACATTTTAATCTCATAAATAACATTATACTCCGATACTTTTAATAGTAACATTTCTTATTATGGAATCTGTGAATGAGGCACAATTAATTAATTATTTTCTATATATTTTTTATAATTAATCATCCTCAATTAATGGCATTTTTCTTTGTTTGTTTATAGTTTAATTATGTATATTGAGCTTGAGAGATTGACTCAGTGTAGCTCATCTCCCCCTCAGCACCTCATTTATGTTCATCTGTTGATGAACACTTTACAGGTATGTCACTGCGACCTAGAAAGGCAAATTGTTGTTTTGTGTGGGCATAAATGTAATTGATTAAATGGTTTTGAGTGTGTAATAATGGTGGTTCCAGAATGACTCATTAAATGAATAAACGTGAAAAAGTGCATATTCACTTATTGAAAATGTGGGTGTTTTCCATTCAGATTGCATATTGTAACTGATGTTACATGTGTGTGCTTATTCTGTGTTGTTTTCTCTTCTTCGTGTATTGGCCAAATATTATTTAATTTATCATTTGTTTGCTCCTACTAAATGCAAAGTGACTCCTTTCATTTCTGTCCTTATATGGGCATATCCAGAGAAGGAGGGGCTGGTAATTTATAATAATGGAGTTTCATCACTCATTTATGGTGAAAGCAGAATTGTGACAGATATTGTCAATCACCTCCCTTTAGAGATGCCAGGAAGTGCTTTTTCTACAGGTACACACATGTGGGAGAGGTAGGTTGCAAAGTCACATCTGAGTTACGAAGATGCTAAAACCTGCAAGACAGACTTAAAGGGATAGTTCACCCAAAAATGAAAATTAGCCCATTGTTTACTCACCCTCAAGCCATCCTAGGTGTATATGACTTCCTTCTTTCAGACCAATCCAATCGGAATAATATAAAAAATTGACTTTGATCTTCCAGGCTGTTTAATGGCAGTCAGCGGGTGTTACAGTTCATCAGTCCAAAAGAAGTTAAATAAAGCGCATCCATAATAAAAAAGTGCCTCACACTACTCCGGGGGGTGAACAAAGGTCTCCTGTAGCGAATCGATAAGTTTTTGTAAGAAAACTAAGCATATTCAAAACATTATAATCACTTTAATCGAGCTTGCGTCAACAGTTGTACACCGAAGCAGCTCCGGGAGGATGGCGTAAGATGTCGGCGTTGCTCATGCGCCGGTGAGTCCCGTGAAAACCAACGTTTGTTTACAGGAGCAAAGGAAGCAAAGTTTCCTTACTTTAGCAAAGGAAAACCACTCTCCTCTTGGCTTATATCGAAATCCTCCGACATTCTTCTTTACAAATCCTCATTTTGTACTTCTAATTTGTGACCGTTGTTTTGATTTCTCCCCTGCGCTTCTGCGTTCGTCACTTCTAAGCGGCGCATGCGCAACGCAGATGTCCTACGTCATCCACCCGGAGCTTCTTTCCGTGTACAACAGTGAGCGCAAGCTAGATTAAATTGATTGTTAAGTTTTAAATATGGTTATTTTTCTTACAAAAACGCATCGATTCACTACAGGAGGCCTTTGTTCACCCCCCGGAGCCGTGTGAGGCACTTTTTATTATGGATGGATGCGCTTTATTTCACTTCTTTTGAACTGATGAACTGCAACACCCGCTGACTGCCATTAAACAGCTTGAAAGAGCAAAGACCATTTTTTATAAAACTCCGACTGGATTCATCTGAAAGAAGAATGTCATATACACCTAGGATGCCTTGAGGGTGAGTAATTCATTGGCTAATTTTCATTTTTGGGTGAACTAACCCTTTAAGGCAGCACAGGTGATTCTTGAAAGCCCATTAATAGAGGTGTGTCTCTGTGTGGAGGAGTTTGCATGTGTGGCACCTGGCATCATGGCCAGGTATGAAATCTCTAGCCCCAGGTGCAGATTTCAGGGAAAGATTCATGAAATCAACACACACTTGAGAGGTGGGGGGGTGGGGGGGGGGATTACTGGAAATCTGCATCTGGATGTGTGAGGTCGAGCAGGTCAGGTCATGTCAACCATCTGGAATGCTGATGTATTTCATTTGAATTCATAAACTCTCCAATGACTGTACTGTATTTTACACATTCATTCTGGGCAAAACATAATTGTGTTAAAATAGTTAACACATATAATAATGTGTTTTTTAAAGTTGAACTTGACACCAGTGTTATTTAAGTATTTTTGAGATGCCATTATAGTTTTTATTAATAGTTTGTTATATTTTTTTTTTTTTTACATTTTAATTTATATATTTAGTTATTTTAATTAAAAAAAATTTTTTACATTAATTATTTTAATATATCAACATTGTTTGTATTTTTTATTTCAGTTTGGTTATTTTAGTACGTCAAGGTAAAATAAATTAAGATGAGAAATGTTTCCTTGACAACTAGTAGAAATAAAATATTTTCACGTTTTATATTTTTTATTTTATTTCAGTTGATTCATTTAAGTAATTTTAGGTAACCAAAATGTTTTTATAGTTTTATTTTTAGTTAACTATAATAACCCTGCTTGACACACAAAAACACAAAAGGCAAATATGTCTGAAGCATGCTCATATTTAGTCCATATAAATATAATGCTGACAAGAGTATAAGAATCAATAGTTTGAAACAAAATGGCCACACTTTTATTCACTAATATGGAAATAAACAATATTTTGACTACTGAAGTCACTTTTTATGTTTATTCAGTGCTTTACTCCTCTGCCACATTTTCAGTTGTGGTCTTTTTCCAGCAAATATTAATATATGTAATATATTGTGAATTATTCAGTTAGGTAAACAGCATATCATGTAGTGATTTCTATTAAAACACTAAATCCATTGACAGCCCTAGGAAAACACATTGTAGGCTCAGGAGAGCTGCTACTTTTGCTCCCTTTTTTCACTTATACACACCCACATATATTCACATACAAACGCGCATCTGCTCAACTTCTATTCACCAGCTTTTTGTAATGCACATTTTCACAAACAAACACCTAAGCAGTTTAAGTAGCTTAGGCTGTTAGATCAGGATCCACGTTGAACCTAACAATGGTGCTATTTCAGTTCAGCGGCAATGTAAGTTAAACAGTAGGGGTGGATTAAAGTGGCCCAGGGCTGTACGTTCATATTCAGGGAAACCGTGAATCACATTACTGAGTCTTCAGCTTTACTGGCCCCCGCTGATGCTGTATCTGCCACAGATAATAACTGTCCTAAACAACCCTTACTTTTAAACCAGCTCCTGCACTCAAATTGCCACACAGCAAATAGAACATTACAGGAACACCATGATGGGAAAAACGTAATTGAAAATGGAAAATATAATTTTTCATTTTTCCAGAACGCCTACCCACATTATTGTACCTGTTACTTTGTATCATCTTGCTATGTTCTTTTTCTAGCAATGTAAATTGCTTGTGAATGATAATGGGTTTTATCAAATAAAGAAAAATAACAAGACAGCATGGATTTTGTTTTTTGACTGCTGTTGCTTTTTTGTCCAAAATAAGTTAATTATATACATTAAGCACAAACATGCTCAGTTTTATTGTAAGCTATTGTTTTATTATTTCCCACAAACCCTTCTGTCATAGTAGTAAATTTGGTGTACCTCAAGGTTCAGTACTGGGTCATCTCTTGTTTTCTTGTTTTATATATTGGACACATTGCTCTGTGAAGAGAACAGTGTTTAGCAAGGCTATTTTATTTAGTCTTCTTGTCTGTCACTTTGAATGATGCTTATATGCTCAGCTGCACTTCTGTCTCATTCTTCTCTCATATTTTACAGCACTCAATTGGTGGCTGACTAAATACTTTTTTGCCCCACTGTATCTTCCTCTTGGGGTTCTCTTGAATTAGTTTTTTTTTCTTTCTTGTAAAATAAATATTTGTGCTTTTTGCAGTGAGAGCCAGAAATCTTGCTTGTTTGTAGGTGACCAAATACTTATTTTACCGAGGAATTTACCAATTAATTCTTTAAAAATCCTACAATGTGATTTTCTGGATTTTTTTTCTCATTTTGTCTTTCATAGTTGAGGTATACCTATGATGAAAATTACAGGCCTCTCTCATCTTTTTAAGTGGGAGAACTTGCACAATTGGTGGCTGACTAAATACTTTTTTGCCCCACTGTATGTTCCTCTTGGGGTTCTCTTGAATTAGTTTTTTTTTTTTCTTGTAAAATAAATATTTGTGCTTTTTGCATACTAATAGGCCAATTTGAAATCAACATATGATGCAGGGTACCTGAAAAGTGTTTGTGAGTGGGAGAACAAGCTTGTCTTCTCAGTATTTTCTTTTATATTGTTACTGAGATTTTATGTTTATCCAGGAATTTTATCTGACACAAATACAATAATCTGTTTTTTGTTGTTGTTGTTGTGTACAGGCAACATACCGGCCATTGCTTAAGCAGGTGCTAGAAGAGATCTTCCACCCAGACAGACGTGAATGCCCTGATGTAGAGCACATGTCCGGGGGACTCACTGACCTTCTCAAGACTGGCTTCAGCATGTTCATGAAGGTAATTCTCACTCACCTCCAGTTTTTAATTTTTCATCTCATCTAGTAAGTTTTATTACCAGTTCAGTGTTGCTGGGTGTGTGCTGCTAAAGAATGGGTTCATTTGAGTTCCAAGAAATTCTTTATATGGACAAAAGCATCCAACTTTATACATTCAATAATATACTCAATGGCCTGAAGAAATATGTGTGTTCATTCAAATAACGGTTTTTCTATGAATTAACTAGAACACAGTCCATTTCTACTCTGCTTTTCCTTGGGACAAGCAGGGATTTTCCCTGCTTTACATACTTTTGGCCAATAAACCCAGTGATATCAGCGTTGGTTGCCATGCAACAAAGTGGCCTGTTCGACTTCCTGGGGTGTTACGCATTCCGGGGGGAAGGGTCCATGGGTCCTCATATGGCTTGTTAACTGAGGTTACAGAGTATTTGTCATATAAAAAGAGAATATATAGTGTGTATTATTACACACAGATGCTACACAACTTTATACATTTTAACTGATGGCACATGAAGACAATAAACACACGATAGCAACAATATATGTTATGTGTTCTTAAAGCCATCTCATGCATTTTCATTAGAATATAATGCAATGCTAATTGCCATAGTCTTTATCAAATACTGTAAAATAATAAATATTTTCCTCATTCTACATTAGATCACAGAATCAAGTTATTTTAAATGCATTATATATTTGTAATAGTTAGTTTGGAGCAAAAACTGTATTAATCTCATAAATTGTCATGTTTTGATGCTATGTTAAGCTAACTGCTCTTTATTTACATTGGAATGTTTAATTTTTTAGGAAGGGTGTTTGATATATAGTAAAGAGAGTAATGTGAGAAGTTTGATTAAATAAATGTGGGATTAAAACGTGGTGAAGAGAAGGTATCAGTAAATATAATACAAAAGAATCAGAGACATCCCAACGTTAGTTGCATTTGGTTTCTAGACTGCAAAAAAAAAAAAGTTTCATTATTTTTTTATCCTTTATTTTTGTCATGAAAATATTTCATGACATTTATTTTAAAACACTTAAAAACACACGTAAGCCTTCATAAGTATTTCTCTTTATGATTGTAATTCATTCTGATCTGATGACAACAAAATACCACAATTATGTTTGTAGTCCAAAGGCTTCATGAACTGTATCTATTTAAGTGTAGGTTACCATTTCTTGGGTTGGTGTTCAAAAGTGTGGCGCAAGTTAACAGGATATCTTAACTCATTGGTGTGATCATATGCTTATGCTGTGAGTTACGCTGAGCCCAGTCAACCAGGAGGCTCATGTGTAAGATCCTCTATATTTAATCAGTTATAATGTCAGTACTCTTAAAGCACCAAACCATTCTAAACTGCTGACTGGCTGCTGACATTACACACCTAATTATGTGTACTTGTGTGAGTGTGTGCACTGAATATGCTTATATTTAAAGCTCCGTCTGGATCACAGTGTCTATATACAGTATATGGTTCAGTTATATTTTATGTATGGTTAAGTTCACATTAACATTTGATTAGGAGGGCTTCTTCCCTACCACTCTTGACTATAGCTTGTTCACTAGTGGTTTTTAAGGTGGTATTCTTTGCCAATCTGCTTTGGCACAAATATATCATATAGAATTTAGAATATAAACTCTTCAAATATAGAAAAGTGCTATAAATACAACGCAAAGGACATTGAACACCAGGTTTAAAAAAAAGAACACTAACACTTACATCATTGCAAAATGTAAAGGAGGTCGCATTTGTTAGAAGACTACATCATTGAGGATGTCTCATTTCAGAAAAGTGACCATTTAAAAAATTCCTTATTCCTCATGAGACATCTTTTTTTTTTCTTTCTTTTTTTTTCTTTTTTTTTACTTTGGAATGTGATGGTTACTTTTCTGAAAAGAGCCTCATGCGTCCAACATATATTAAATCTGATATATATGACTGATATATATATATATAGACCCAAATAAAGTGGAATATACAATATAGCAAATCTCAACTGCTTGATTGTTATATTGAAAATATAAACTATATTATTGCCCAACTCTAATCTGCTAAATGTGACTATAAGGCATGAAGACAGTAAGATTTTATAAACATTAACATCATGATTTTCTGAAAATCTACCTTGAAACATGGAGTATTGTGAAAAGCACAATGCAAATAAAATTGACTTAATTTTTAGGAAGCTTCTTGCTGTCCAGTCACCTCTTTGGAAGTATGTGATATTTTGTGTCACTTTATGCATTATTTCATTTTTCTGAATGTGTTTATGAGGTATATGACTTCATTTGGATGATTAATAATATGTTAATCAGAAGATGTTTTTCGCCCTGAATATCATCCTCTTGCTCTCTTTGCTCTCTCTAAAATGTGAGCAGACACGTTTATACTGATACACATGGCCCGCTGTGTGCTTGCCCCCTTTGGGATATGTGTGTGAGGCTGTCCTTGTGTTTTCATGCTGTTATTCACTTTTCAAGTATATATAGTATGCATTACCTGGTAACATGAGTATGTATGATATTGCCTAATAATGCGATATTGCCAAATTGTGTGTGGTACACGTGGCTGGACATACTCTTCACTCGACTCACAAGCTGGTGTCGTCCATTTAAAACACACGTGCGTCTGAAGTGTGTGGATAGATGAATAGTTAAATGAAATGAAAGGTTGAAGAATCCTCCAAGAATTAACAAGGTCTCTCTTTTTACCTTTTCTGTGCACACATTTATAATGAAACCTCTCTTTCATTCACTTGTGTGCCAATCACGCTTATTTACTTTACCAAGGAACATCCTAAAGAAGGCTTTTTTTATCTACTCATCCTTCTGTCACTGTCTGTTTTACACGTTTGTCCGTGCGGGTTTAGTGTTCAGAGTTGCACGTGGCAGCACAGCCCCACTCCTGAGATCCACCCTGCTGGATGTGCATCCCTAATATCCTGATTATTATTCACGACTGGCTTTTTCTTTCAGCCAATCAAAGGCCAGCACTCTGTCCACCCGACCAGGCATGTACAGCAGTACCCCATGTGCCTGAGCGACTCAAACAGAGTATCCGCATGTGTGCAACAGCGTGCTTGTGTCCATATAAAAGTGTGTAATGGTTCTCTGTGTGTGTGTGTGTGTGTGTGTGTGTGTCTTCTGAATGTTGTGCTCCTGCTGTGCTCGTCAAAGTGTTCAGTTCTGACCCAGACCTCCAGCTGAACTGTGAATTACATAAGACATACACACATTTACCAGGGATGTGCAGAATTGTATAATTGACTTGTCTGACTTAGGGAAGCCCAGTGTAATTACGATGGATTACTGTCATCACGTGTTTCTTAGGGGATATTCACATGAGACACGTTATTGTGAAAAAAAACCCCGAACAGCAAGCAATAGAATGGGCCAGAACCCAATGTCTTATCTATTTTTAAATTGACATGCCATAAAAATGCAGCGGTCATAGTGTTAAATGCTGAAAAATAGCTTTGGGAAACTAGACAACAGCCATAAACCTGTATCTGCACATGTACATAGACCAGTAAAAAAAATAAAAAATAGGCTACTTTTTATTATTTTATTTTATTCATCATCTTCTTCATCCTATAGTGTGTATCCTGCGTTGGTGCAGGGTCCGCTTGTTTGCACGCCTTTTGTTTGCAGGACATTGCTTGCAGTTTCCTGGCTGTAATTGTCTTAATTTGTATTGAATGTGCTACAAAAAACTATGAGAGACCAGGCAACAGCCATAGACCTCCATCTGCACATGTACATAGACAAAAAATGTTTTTTTTTTTTATTGTATCACTGACAGATATTCATCAAATAAAAAAGCTTATTTTATTTTGTTTCAACATACTGCTTATGTAAAGTAACTGGGACATTGCTCACAGCAGGCTGTCAGGTTTCCTGACAGTAATTGTCTTGAATTGAATTATTGAAGGCATTGAATTTGTTACAAAACCAGGGTTTTGATGGCTGTAGCTGCAGTGCTTTCAACGAGATGAATTTAGAGAAACAGCTTCACAGAAGGGTTTTGTGCTGACAGTCTCACATGCTAAAGCACAGCACACAGCCAGTACACCCAAATCCTTTCTGAGACATTGTGTCTCTAAATTCATCACATTTAAAGCAGCAAAACCAAAAATATGAAAGGGAAAGCATAAATTTGAAAGAATAGATACAGATACAGTCAGCCTCAAATGGACTTTAAATTACAGAGGGTATGATAAATGATACTGCGTTGGTGCAGGGTCCGCTTGTTTGCACGCCTTTTGTTTGCAGGACATTGCTTGCAGTTTCCTGGCTGTAATTGTCTTAATTTGTATTGAATGTGCTACAAAAAACTATGAGAGACCAGGCAACAGCCATAGACCTCCATCTGCACATGTACATAGACAAAAAATGTTTTTTTTTTTATTGTATCACTGACAGATATTCATCAAATAAAAAAGCTTATTTTATTTTGTTTCAACATACTGCTTATGTAAAGTAACTGGGACATTGCTCACAGCAGGATGTCAGGTTTCCTGACAGTAATTGTCTTGAATTGAATTATTGAAGGCATTGAATTTGTTACAAAACCAGGGTTTTGATGGCTGTAGCTGCAGTGCTTTCAATGAGATGAATTTAGAGAAACAGCTTCACAGAAGGGTTTTGTGCTGACAGTCTCACACGCTAAAGCACAGCACACAGCCAGTACACCCAAATCCTTTCTGAGACATTGTGTCTCTAAATTCATCACATTTAAAGCAGCAAAACCAAAAATATGAAAGGGAAAGCATAAATTTGAAAGAATAGATACAGATACAGTCAGCCTCAAATGGACTTTAAATTATAGAGGGTATGATAAATGATAGAGGCGTCCGATCTGATTCTTTGCATGCTAATTAATGTCCTGAATCTCAAAGATTTTTTACCTCTTTATGCTCGACAATTAAAGCTTGACCCAAAGACTTTGAGATCCTGAAATCTTTTTGTACCAAGCAGTCGGTGTTTGTATTACTTGAGGGTTTGCAAATTGACTAATTTGCAAATCCGCAGCTTAATTAAATCTGCAGCTGAAAACAAAAAGCCAAGTGAAACTGGGATTATTGGTTAGTTTCTAATTATGTTCCCTGTTTATCCCCTTTTGATGTTTCTTTTTCCTGCAGGTCACTCGACCACACCCAAGTGATCATCCACTCTTGTTTCTCTTCCTGGTGGGCGGAGTCACACCATCAGAGCTCCGCCTCATTCGTGAAGTTGTCTCCACCCATAAGTCATGCACTCAGGTGGGATGTCACACCCCTTTCTTGACTAATTCTTTATCTTTTACACTATTGTTTAAAAAAAAATAGGATGCATAAAATGCAGTAAAAGTGAGAGTAACGGAATTTCTGACGTTACAAATAATTTCTATTTCAACTAAATTAAAATACCCCACCTCTCTTTTTCTCCTTTTGTTTTTCTCTATGGCTCGCTGCTTTTTTTTCTGTATCGTTTACTCAGGCATGATTAGGAGTGTGTGTGTGCGTATCTGCACTTGTGTTTGTGAATGAATAGAGATGTAACTGGGTTGAGTCAGAATAAAAGGAGTTTTGTTGATCAAAGTTTCATATCATGAATAAATCAAACATAATGAAAGCACAGAGTGGACCCTTATAAAATAGAAAGCCCACACATAGCCTGACCTAAACCCACAGCTGAGCTAGTGTGTGTGACAGAGACACACTGGTGGGAATTTAGGGTGTCTTATACTAAATTAAGGTGCACCACACTTGACTAACAAGACGGCCAGGGGAGAGGCATGTAGCGAGGGTTCTGTAAAGCCCTTTTGATGTGATTATCTAAATGAAGTTCTCAGACGAGCTAAATGATCTTCATCTTTCCATCAGAGAATACAAAGCATGTACTTACCTCAGCACATGCGTCAGCACGTGCGGTAATATTCTACCCTATTCATCTTCAAGACCTGGCTAATAACATACAAGCTAATAATCTTGCCGAGCCAGACTTTTGGCTGTTGCATCTTATTATGGCTCAAACTCACCCAGATAGATAGGAAGAGACTAGCTAACAAATACAACCAACTTAGACCTTTCTACCGATTGCCTTGTAAAGTTTTTTGTTTGTTTGTTTGCTTAGTCAGTTTTCTCTTTAGTCTTTTCTTTTAGTTGCCCTGCACAGTTTTATGTAGCTTTATGTTTGTTTAGTTGCTTTTATTCAGCAAGAATGCATTAAATTGATCAAAAGTGACAGTGAAGATATGTTATTTCTTATTCAAATAAATGCTGTTCTTTTGAACTTTCTATTCCTCAAAGACATCTGGAAAAAAATAGTTTCCACAAAAATATTAAGCAGCGCAACTGATTTCACTATTGATAATAATATATAATTTTTCTTGAGTACCATATTAACATATTAGAATGATTGCTGAAGTATCATGTGACACTGAGGACTGGCTACAGAAAATTCAGTTTTGCTATCACAGGTATAAATTACATTTTAAAATATATTAAAATAAAAAGTTATTTTTAACTTGTAATAATATTTCACAGTATTACTGTTTTCACTGATCAAATAAACGCAATGTTTTTGAATATTTTAAAATCATTAAAAAAATCTTACTGAACCCAAACTTCTGAAAGCTAGTGTCTTCAGCCTTTTATTTATTAAAACATTTTTTTTTCATTTATTTCTGTATTTACTACAATTCAGGTCATAAACAATCTGTTTAGTTTATAGCTGTTTCTGCCTCAGACATTTTGGCATTATTAACAGTTCCTGCCTGTTTCCCTGATCCCTGTGTTGTTTTTACCCTTCATAGTTACTGCAGGGCTGCTAAAACATCAACAGACCATTTGAGTATGAGTGTAATTCTATGTCTGATGATGAGATTGCAGTGTGTGTGTGTGTGTGGATGTGTGGTTCAAAATGTCCTCACAAAGATGGCAATATCCAAAATCTTTGTCTTTTCATCATAGAGAATGAAGCTTTTTGAAAATATAAATTTAAAGAAAGATTAGTATGAGGGGTAGGTTTAGGGTTAGGGGGATAGAAAATACAGTTTGTACATTATAAAAGCCATAGCGTCTATGGAATGTTCCCATAAAATACGGAAATCCTGTGTGTGTGTGTGTGTGTGTGTGTGTGTGTGAACTGTCTAATCTATTTCTCTTGTCTTTTCTCAGGTACTCGTAATGTCCACTAGGCTGCTGAGACCTTCCGATGTCCCTCACTTACTCTTCCGCACTGACAGACTCAAACCTGACATTGGAGTGTGAAGAGACTGAACACACACACTTCTGGCTGTTGAATCAATTCTTTCCAGCATATTTTTCCTTTTGTCTCAATTTCAGAGGCATTCGATAAAAAACAAATCATGCATTTAAAAAGGTTTAAGGAATATACAGAACATGCTTCTGTTCCTTATAAATACCACAACATCCCGTTCCAATTATTTCACATTTTGTTGTATATGACCAAAGATTCTGTCTTACCATTTTCCCTTAAAGTCCCTCAATTTTTTCCCTTTAAATAAAATCTTTATGGTTGGCCTTTTGCTCATGTGTAAAACTGATGTTTGTTAAAGGGGTTTGCAAATACAGCACATTCTGCAGTTCAGTTCTTACAATCAGCCATGTGTTGATTCTCACAGGAGCTTCCCTCTTCATCCTTCACTCACTTCAGTGCTGCTGGAGGAGTGACAGATGGGAAGAGGGCAGAGGTCAAAAAGGGTGGTGACATCCTTTCTGTCCTGCCTTCACTTTCTCTCACACACACATTTACTCAGCCATCTATAAAGACATATTATAGGCCGCTAATGTTTTTTATAAAACAAAGCTAAGTAAAAATCTATTTATCATAAATAAATCTAACCTTAACTTTTTGAAAGTTTAGAATGATGTTTCAAAAGAGACATTTTGTCAGTAAAAACATTCCTATTCCTCAAAGTATTGCGAAGTAAACACGCTGTAAGCTCCATGCTTTTATATGTGTATCTCTTACTCGTATGAGATTTGAGTTTGTGTTTCGCATTTGCCACAAACTATTACCCCAGCAGGTGTCTGACAAAGGTGCTAAAACACCTGAAATCAGTTATGTTCCTCTAAATTCAGGGGGGTTTTTTTACACTTTAATCCCTACATATGTGTATTTGTTTTGTTAAATGTCTATTTAGGGTGTTGGTAGTTTTATTGACTGTTTACCATGTGGGGAAACGTCAGCATTAAAAATATAGTAAAGCATAAACTAAGAATGCTTGTTTTATACACACTACTAAGATTTTTTTCAATGTCTTCCATGTCAAAGTCTCTTATGCTCATCAAGTATAGATTTATTTGTTACAAAAATGGGTAATATTTTTTCAAAATATTACATTTAAACTTTTTTTTTGTGTTAATATATTTTAAAAAGTAATTTATTCCTGTGATGCAAAGCTGAATTTTCAGCATCATTACTCAGTCTTCGGTGTCACGTGATCCTTCAGAAATGTTATATGCTGATTTGCTGCTTAGGAAACATTCTTATTATCAATGTTGAAAACTATTTTTTATGGAAACTATATTTTTGTGGAAACCATGATACATTTGTTTTTCTTTAATGAATAGAACGTTCAAAAGCACAGCATTTTAAAAATAGAAATCTATTTAGACATTATAGATGTCTTTACTGTCACTTTTGATCATTTTAATGTATTTTGCTGAGAAAATGTATTTTTGTAGTACTTTAATATGGTAATGTATATACTGTAAAAATGGTGGTTACATTTTAAACAATATCATACACCTGATCTCTCAAGGCTTCATTAAACAAAATTCAACTAAATTAACTTTTACATTTACAGGTCGGTTTAAACAGAATGAATGAGTGTGCTTATACATTCAGACAAAGTATGTTTTTGTAAAAACAACTCTTTATTTCCAATCACAATCAAATAACATAAATAAATAACTCTGAGCTTCAGCCCTTTGGCTTTTTTAAAGTGCATTTACACAAGAAAAGTCTCTTCTACTCCACTATAGAAAAGTGGCACAAAGCACAGTTACACAAAACCAGGAGAAACATCCTGGCCTTGTACACAAGAGTAGGACTGTAAAAGATACACGCACACACTCTCTTTTTATACGCTTAGCTTGAGTGCCTTGTCGTTTAACAATGCCTTCATTCAGACCGTAAAAGCCTTGACCACAAGAAGGAACAAAAAACTCTCTCCCATGCCTTTCAGAAAAGCAATTCTTAAAATAGTCTGTTTTTGCAGCCTTCACCATCTCTGTTGCCAGTAGAACGTGTCTTAAAATTTCACAGGTAAGGCAGAGTGTTAATAATAGTGTTTTTGTGTGTTCAATTCAGTCATTCTGTCTTTGCACTGTCCCTCTGTAAGGAACTAAGACCACGTCTCCCAGAATCCTGCTGTGTCCACAAGGATATAAGTGACGGCAATACAAGTGTCCACCAGCACTGGTGAAAATGTAAGACTTCACCGGACTCTGCTTGTTTGTTTGTTTTTCAGCGACCATGACACAATCAGAGGTCTAGTTTCAGGGGCCTCTGTTTGGAAGCGGTCTGCTGATCATCAACGGATCTCAGGAACTTCCAAGGAGCGAGACCTATACATTCAGAGAGATCTTCTCCTCTCTCTTAATCCTGCACTTCTGTTCTGCTTCTCCTGCTGGTATTCGAACCCTCTTCACACTGAAGTGACAGTCCGGACCTTGGCGGACAGCACCTGTTTGAAGCGCCTCTTCAGATCCTGCATGTTGGGGGATTTGGGCCGGGGGATGAGGGGAGATCTTTTCTTCTCTGTTCCAGATGAAGCTGCATTGACGGGGGTCTGAGGCTGCTGCTTGGCCAGATCTACGCACAGTCTGTGGAAGGCACCGTGGACCTGGCTGTAGTCCTCGCTGGCGGACACCTCGTAGAAGGAGCAGCCCAGCGCTGAAGCCAACAGGGGACCTTCTTGAGCATCTACATGCCTTACATGGAGAAGATCGGCTTTATTGGCCACCAGGATGATTGGCAAGGACCTATCCGTAAGGGTGCGGGTAACAAGCTGGTGGAGCTGGCCAATGAGATCAAAGCTTCGGCAGTCAGTAACGGAAAAGACCATAACTACGGCGTCTGCCCACTGAATGGAGCGAGATACCTGGTCAGTGCAGCTCAATCCATTAGCGTTCACCTGAAGAAAAAATAGACATTTGTCAGTTATGCAACACGTTTCGTTAGTCTACACATTTTCTTATATTACTGAATAGTGTGAGCTCTGTGGGTGATAAAGTGTACAGCAAAGCTGACTAAGAAGCTGGAAGAGTATACTTTGCTATTGGCAGCGATTGTCGTTTCACAAAAACGAGAGATTTAGCCGGCTAGACTTAGAGTCTTTCACTCTAGTCCAAAAAGAAAAGGCATTCTGTGGTTTTGGACAACTGCCTGCTTTGGGAAATGAGCCTTGCATGCCAAACTTGGCACTAAAATATCTGACTAAAGACATCTTGAAAGAAGTGGCCTGTAATTGAATTAAAAGCCATTCTCTAATTTTGAAAGCAGAGGGATAATTTAGATGGGCTGGTCTACTGTAACTGTTCCGAACTGCTTATTCATATCCTAAACCCGCTGTGCACTGCTGAAGCAGCAAAACCTCCCAACCGCTGCTACAAATATCCCACAGCGCTGCAGCGAATCATTCTTTGGAGTCGGATATTTTTAATGAACCGGTTCACAAAACCGATCTTAACGATTCGTTCAAAACTCATTGTGAATGAGTTTTAATCATACCATATGAACCAGTTGGTTTTGTATATGTATCTTTTTATTAAAATATGCAACATCTTTTTATCCGTTGAATTTTAGCATTGTTCATTTATCTTCTAAATGACCTGTTTTTATGAGCTGAGTCAAATTGGGGCCTGTGAAATTACAATAAATGTCTTTATCAATAGCAATTTTAGGGGGAAACATAACACTAATGGTCACTTTTTGTAAACGCCTTGGAGCTTGTAAGATACCACGCCGCGAAGCCGTAAATAACCGCTGAATCATTTTAACCTGTTCTGTGAACCGAACTGTTCAAAAGAACCGATTCGCATAAATAATTCGGGCTTTCCTCAAGCTGCAGTACATGAACGCGCTGCCCCCATAAAAGAGTGCAACAGCAGGCTTCCCGCTGGCCAATTAACCCCAAGTGTTAAACACAAACCCGGAGAAACACAAAAGAAGAGCTAAAAGACAAAGGCGAAGGTATGCGCTCTTTCTACACTTCTCACCCGTGAAGAAGTAGCGTGGGAAAGATGCTCTGTATGTAACAGTAAGAAATGTGACATACAATCGCATAAAGAACAAGTGTGTTCCTGTGTCGCGCATACTTACTTCTACTCCAGGTGTGTCTTGAACTTGAATGGCCACTTGTTCTCCGTCTATCTGCACTTCTCTGTTGTACAGGTTGCCTGTAATGCAGCAATGCAGACTTTTTAAAAAAATTGACAACATCACTAATGAGTTTAAACGATGCATATCCTACTAAAATCAGTCGTCTTGGAAAGATGGGGGGGGGGAACTTACCGACGTTTCTCTCGTAGTCACCAATAAACCGCTTAGTGAGGAAACGAACCACCAACGCTACACAGGAATAAACAAGAAATGGGCATGAATATATAAATATAATTGTATCACAACACTCTAATCTACAAGAAAATCGTTTCTGTGATATTATATTATTAGGTGTAATATGATAAGCTTTAAAACGATGTAAAACTGGTCCACAAACGTACCGGTTTTGCCCACTCCACTGCCGCCGATGACTGCGATCTTAATGACCCGTTTGGACGGGCATTCGGCGCTGGGGTACTCCGCAATGGTAGACATGTTCTGGATCAGACGCATTTTGGCAAGAGAAATATACTATCCAAAGCCTACAATGGAAAATTAGGACAAAATATACACAGACGCCGTAAAAGTAATGTCAGAATCGAAGTCAGCCAACGGATTGCACGCAGATGTTGTCTTTCAATGATAAAGTCGGAGAATATCCTAACTCCCTCTCCTAGTTATAAACACCTAGACGGTACTTGGTTTACTGAGCAGCAGAGACGGGAGCTTGGGTTTATATACAGCCGCAGAAGCGCTCGGCTCTGATTGGCTACTGCAAACAACGGTCGCATTGCCTCGCCCCGCCCACCGCTTCACGTGTATGCATGAGCTGTTTATAACCGAATAAAAAGAGAGAGAAAGACAGGTGGGTTCACCCATAGACTGTATAAAAACAGGTTCACCCGAGTAAAATGACTGGCTTAGGGAACACCTTCCCTTACAGTCGCTCGCTGAGAAGGAAAATAAGACGTTTTAGTCGACTAGGCTGTAGAAATGATTTAAAGTGGAGGTTTTGAATGGGTCTTAGTGCTGTGATTGCTGATATCTGTCAGTTGTAAATGAGTGACTTTAAACGCGTGTGATGAGAATGTTATCTAGTCTAAATGATCTCTAAGCGCTTTATGTGTCACTTGCAAAGCGTTTTTTTTCTTTAGCCTGGGCAATGAGAAAAAGTAA